TAATTCTTCATGAATCTTTAGTTTTATTCCTTTTTTCATTTCTATTGGTTTTGTTTCTAATATATTAATTTCTTTATCCTCATTTCCATACCCGTAGTCTGGTGTTTTTCCTTTATAGTTCGGTGTTTCAGGTCTACTTGTTACTGGTTTTAGATATGGTGAGTCTGATTCTTGATTTATTCCTATTTCTATAGGGTCTTTGTTATACTTTGTTATTATCGATGGTCCTTCATTTCTCTGTTGCTCTTGTTGTAATTTTAAGTATTCGTGTTTAAGATTGTTTTTATCTTCTTCAATTTTTTGTCTATACTCTTGCATTGTCATTTTCTTTCTTTTTTCGAATGAGTCTTTTCTTGTTCTTTCGAATTGGTTTGTTGGTTTATCCATCTGGATTGTAGCTTGGTCTTTGATTACATTTTTAGCTATGTTTTTATTATTATCTTTTTTGAAGTATGATGGGGTTATAAAATCAAGAGTATTCTTTATGAATGATGGTGATTTAGTTTGTTCATTTTCAATTTGTTTTGTTTGTTCAGGTTGTTCCTGGGTTGTGCTAATATCACTTTTTGCTTTTAAATATCCATCATCTCCTACTTCGTATTCAGTATTTTCTTGATTTAATATTATTTCCTGTATATCTGGTTCTAATGGTGGTATACTAGATATACTTTCAGTATCCTTAAATGTTGAGTCGTCTTCTCTTTGAAACAATCCTTTGGATATGTTTCTTATGATTTCTTCATCATCACTAGTTAGATCACTATTGTATGTTGAATTGCTTTTATACGATAAGTCGCTTGTTGACCCATTATTTGTTTTCTTCCTATAGTTATTAAAGTCTTGTTCGGTGAACAATACTTGGTTATTTTCTGGTTCAGGGTTATAGTTTGAATATTTTATTTGGTAATCGTAATGTGGTTTAAATATACCCTGTCCTGGTACCTGAGATGTTGATCCAGGTTTATTCCAGTGTTCCAGTTTGTTTCCAAAGTTATCCAAGTCTCTTTGGTAACCTTTGTCTTCTAGTAGGCTTTCTGAGTCACTTTCTTTATCTATTGTTTCGTATATTTCTTCTATTTTCTGTTTCTTTTCTTCTTCCAGTTGTTTCCGTTTTTCTGATTCTTTCTTTATTTGTTCAAGCAATTCTTCATCATTGTTGATTTGTCTTGCTGGTTCTGTATTTTCAATGTCTATCATTGCAAAATCTAAGTATT